AGTCCAGCTGATAGAGTTTTTCTGTAACTGGAGTTCCCTGATGTCACGCGATCGCTCCACTGTCAGGTGATGAGGTCAAAGGTCAAAGTCATTATTCACATCCCCAAAGACTCGTCTGTAACAGAAGCATGTTCCACCATCATAAGCTCTGAGCTGTCAATCATCTGAAGTCCAGGAAGCTGCTGTCAGAGACGCTTTACTGCACCTCCCTGTTACCTGAGGAGGTCAGGAGGTCGTCTGTGCGTCAGATCCTCCCTCAGCATTAGTCCCGCCCCCACGCTCATCAACCCCTCAGCATTAGTCCCGCCCCCACGCTCATCAACCCTCCCTCAGCATTAGTCCCGCCTCCACGCTCATCAACCCTCCCTCAGCATTAGTCCCGCCCCCACGCTCATCAACCCTCCCTCACCATTAGTTCCGCCTCCATGCTTCTTCTTCTGTTGCTTCTTCTTTGTTGTTTTCGTTTTAGCTTGTAATTTGCTTTTTTGCTCCTCATAGCTCAAAGCTAGCCTTTTATTTCTTATAGTTTCAAGCTTGCGTTTTGCTTTTAGCTAGCCTTTTTGCTTCTTTTAGCTTCTACTTTGCTGTTTGGTCATGTTAGCTTGTAACTAGCCCTTTGCCACTTTAGCTTCTAGTACGCATTTGTGCTCATGTTAGCTTAAATCTAGGCTTTTATTTCTTTTTTACTTGTAGCTAGTGTTTTGCTTCCTTTAGTTTTTACTTTGCTTTTTTCTCCTGTTAGCTTGCCTTTTGCGACATTTAGCCCCTATGTAGCCTATTGCTATTTTCAGCTTGTAGCTAGCCTTTTGGTTCTTTTAGCTTCTAGTTTGCTTTACTTAGTTAACCTTTTACTAACTGAACATTTTAGCTGCTGTTTCCTACTTTGAACCTCCACACATCCCTCCTGTCTTTTCTGGTTATCATGGTGATGTCAAACTGGGCTCACAGGGGACACTGAGGGACATCAGGGGACACTGAGGGACATCAGGGGACACTGAGGGACATCAGGGGACACTGAGGGACACTGAGGGACACTGAGGGACAAGGAGTCCAGCAGGCTCAGTTCATGGTAGGTCTGGTTGGTTTCCTTCATTCTGAGGGAGACATTTTGGGTCTTTTTGAAGAGGAACCAYCAGCTGCAGTCAATCATGATCGCTAACAGGAAGTTAAAAAATCTCRGACTCATCAGGACTTTCTGGACCCTTCAGGACCTGATAAATGTTCTTGGTGAAGTTTTCACGCTCGCTGCAGCAAAAACATTTTGTTTGTTTTTCCAGCTGCCCCGAGGAACACCACAGTCCTGGTCCTGCCGTCCACGGTGGTCCAGGAGGGACAGAATGTCACCGTCTGCTGCCAGACCATCAGCTTCCCCCCGTCAGCTGTGGTCCTGACGAAGCTGAGCAGCGGGTTCGAGCTGCACTCGTCCAGCGGCACCTTCCTGCTGGTCAACGTGTCATCCAGAGACTCGGGTCTGTACCAGGTCACCGTGTCCAACGGCCTCGGCTCCGAGGTCAAAACCTTCAGCATCAGCGTCAGAGGTCCGTCAGACCGAAGGCAGGACAGTCTGGTGTTCTGGTCCAGTCCCGTTTAACTCTTCTTTGTTCTGCAGAGGGTCCGAGCGGACCTCCAGGTTTCTGGGTCTTCATGGTCCCCTCGCTCTGCTCTATCGCCGGACTCACCATCTCTGCCCTGATCGTGGACTACATCAGGAGGTCCAGGAAAAAGGGTTTCTACCAGCTGCCCCAGTCCGCTCCACCGTCAGCCTGAAGCTGGGCCCSACCGATCCTGGAACCCCATCTCCACGTCTGAACCCGGTCTGGAGACRTTCGGCTCAGAACCAGGTGGACTCAGAGTCCCGTTAGGAGGCTGCAGCCGAGACGATCCTCGACCTCGTTTAACCCTGAATCTGTGGCTTTACTGACGTGTGGCTAAAAGCTGCCGCCTTCAGCTGCGAAGCTTCGGCTGTTTTTACCACAAAGTGTCTTCATGGTGTCAAACGGATCGTCTTCAAAGGTTCAGAACCCTTCGTTATTTTGTTTTTTCCTTCAGTCTCAGCCGGTGATAGACTGTYGACTTTCATCGTGAAGCTGAAGTCAGATTTAGAAAATCAGAATTCTTTTTACCTCAATGAAACAAATAAAACCTGCAGTTAGCATCGGTCAAGTTACCATGTTAACAGTTATATTTCATCAGGCAGCTGCCGTTTTTAACCCCAGGGCAGCAGGAGGGGGAGATTATTCCTCATCTCTTCTCTGTAAACTTATAATTTAAAGCTGCAGCTGTTTTGTATGGAGGACCGACACTGACATAATTAAAAATAAAATCAGAAATATAAAAATTAACCAATAAATAAATAAATACACTTAAAAAGCACCAATTAAACTAAAACAGGAGAAATTTACCTCAGCTTTGATCATTTAATTGATCTTCATATTTGTTTTTCCAGCTTAGGTCCAATAAAATAT